TTGTTTACTGTTAGCATGAGCTAAGTTTGTTTACTGTTAGCATGAGCTCAGATTGTTTACTGTTAGCATGAGCTCAGATTGTTTACTGTTAGCATGAGCTCAGATTGTTTACTGTTAGCATGAGCTCAGATTGTTTACTGTTAGCATGAGCTCAGATTGTTTACTGTTAGCATGAGCTGAGTTTCTGTAAATGTCTTTAATCTAAAGACCTTTTCTCAGTAGAAATGAAAAGTACAGGTGTTCAAATGAAGGAGGACAAACCTGCAAACTCTCGTARGACTGAGAGACATTTTCAGGGTAAACTGAGTCCAGTTCCAGCCAGAACTTGGAGCGGTCTGGGGGATCCACGAGAGATGGCGTGCTTTGGCTGAGCTCACCATAAAGATGAAGCTCAGAGAAATTTTTCATCTTTTTATGACTTCCTCTTGAGTCCTCCACCTTGGTTCCTCTGCTGGAGAACAAGGCAGCTCTCTTAGGAAGTGAGGGACGTGTCGGAGACACCTGGGTGCTCAGACTCACGCCCTGAAGACGACGCTTTGGACCTTCACTCTGGTTGGACATGCCACATTGCATTGTGGGTAGTTTAGACAGAGAATGGTTGAGGTTTTCTGAGAGTTCTGGTAAACTGTTGTGAAGTTTGTGACTGGAGTCTCGGGTGGGACTGGTCTCCTGTGGGGGGTCTTCAGTTCTCCGGACCTCTGGCTCGTCACTCGGACTGTAGTCACTCAGCTCAAAGGCAGTGATCCCACARTCCAGAGAAAAGTAGTCCTGGCTGCAGCGTATGGTCAGCTGACCGCTGTCATCAACMTCCGTCAGAGCATCCAGTCGGGTCTGAAGAAGAAAACTCATTATTTTACATCATGTTTGACCTGGTGAGCTCCATGCAAACCAGCATTTCTTGTTTTCTATATCTTAACTTCTGTTAACTTCAGATCTGTAAGTTGAACCTGAACATGAATCCTGGCTAAAAGTTATGTTTATCAAACACAGTTCAAATGACAGGAAGTTTAATCAGAACGTAAACAAACTGTAAACAATGGGATTGTTGCAAATCTATAAATATATTACAAGAAATAAAGAAAAGCAAGTGAAAGTAGATACCAAAATATGTTATAAAGTTTGTTGAAAGTTTTTTTTATTTGATTCTGAGTGAATCTGATCCAACTGAAGTCAAATATAATTTCTCATTATTTTATAT